TTGAGCCATAGGCAGTTAGTGGCTACACACTGGGGCTTATGGCCGGACACTCCGGGGACCGGGGCAGAAGAGGGAGCCTAAAACGAGGGGAGAAAGTCCAGCGAACAATACAGAGCCGAGGGCTCCATTGTCATTCGCTGTGCATGGCCCAAAGTTAACTGACGTTCAGTTTGTTCATTTCTTTTTTGGTTTTTTGTTTTGGCCAAACTTGCCTTTTTCCCAGTATTTTTCTTTGTATTTTGTGTGTTTGTGCAGTTCCGACTGCAAATGAAAAGGCCATCGAAAACAAAAGCTTGCGTTGCCTATAAATAGCGTGAGCCCAACTTGACTTTCCACTTGCCAACTTTCTGCCACCGCCAGTCGCTCCTTTTGGCCACGAGTCTTATCTGTTTATAGCGTTTTTAGCGTGTAAGTCTCTGTGCATTTTCCGCTTTTCTTTTCTATTCGGCTCCCATTTTCCGTTTCCTTTGTTTCGGGTCTGGCGGAAAATTCCGGTTATGCGTTGTCTACCGTCATAGATCTAGTTGGGATTTGGCATCGCACCGAACTGTGTTACTTAATTGCATTCGCCAACCACATAACGCGTTAAGCAGGCTCACAAATCTAATTGCAATTATGCAATTTGTAGCCATTAAGGCAAAAAACATATAATGTGCCATAAATTTATGCAACGATAATGCTCGACGCGGGTGCACCGATGTCAACGCTTGTTTGCAAATAAACACAAATCGCTGGCCGTAATTTATTCGGCCGCTTGTGTGAGTATGTTAACATGGCAACACGCTCCCCGGATTTATGCACACCGGGGCTACAATATAATTAACAAAACAAAAAAAAGGGCAAAAAATAGATTGCCATCGAACTATGGCAACACATTGTTTATTGTATTTAATAAATCATTTTTGCAGCGCGTCTCGCGCTTTTTTAATTGCATTTCAATGTGGCAGAGTGCGTGACTTCGGCGCGAATAATTCAAAAACTTTATTAAATTACAAGCAAATAATGCAAATCACGTGTGCAACAAGGCGTGGTTATTTTTACCACCTTTTTTGCGCACATGCCCTCGTAAGTATGCTGCACTTTGTCGAGATAGTTTTTATGGTTTAACGGCTGTTAATTGGCAAACGATATTGAAGTGGTTGGTATAAAAAATATATTTATGTACAGACAAAAAATATTTATAATTTCTAAACCATTTTTGTTGTCCGTATTTTACTGAAATTTAAAATGTATTATCTTATTTTAATATTTTAATTTCCAAAACCCCTCAAATAAAATGTTAATTAACTGCTTTACTTAACTTTATTAAGAGAATTCTTTTTTTCTATTTTACACAACTCTTAATAATGTTTCATGTTAACTTATCAACAATTTTCGTAAAAGTTTGAAACATTTACTGGTATTTACTGTTTAATTTCGTTCTGTGCATAATTTTTCGGCATCACTATGAACTTAAATTTAAACTAATTACAATTTAAAAAGCTCTTGCTGCTAACCCCAAAAAGCATTTCGCCAAACTTGGACATACTTAGCTAAATAACAGAATTAATGAAACATTTCCAGACCCTGGCTGTGCAAATACAGTTATTTATACTACACTCAACTTAATTACAAGCAACAGCAGCCGCAGGAGGCATCGCTCCTCTGACAGCAGCAGCAGCAACACCAACACCAGCAACATCAACAGCAGCAACATAAGCGGCGAGCTTAATCCGGCTACATAGCCATGGTTCATTAATCAGACGCGACTATAAGCCACAACAAAACCAAGCATCAGGCTACCTACTGCTCTGGGATCCTGGGAACCAGGAGCAGCAGCAGGAGCAGGAGCCACCAGAATCCCAAGGATGCCAGGGAAAAAATTAACAAGCAACTTAACACTTTAACGCCTTTCACTTCACTTTACGATGCCAGCGAACAATGTAATTACTTCAAAACAAGACGAGGCTGCTGACCTCCCTCGGTTCCTGGGATCTTCGCTTTTAGGGTTTTGGATTTCGAAAGCCTTGAGTTGAGTTTAGGACGAACTAACTGAAAGCCAGCCCTGAACGCTTGGCTAGGTTTTCGGGCAGTGTGGGTCTGCTGGCGGCTGTTGGGATGCTGTGGCCCTGACTGCATTACCATTTGATTATAGAAAACATTTATTTAAGTTGCCCGGGGAAAGGCAACTATGCCATTATGTGGCCCACAAGCACACTGAGAGAAAGCAGGGCGAGAGGAATTTTTTATTCTACAAACTCGAGAAGGAAAAATGTGAAATATTTCCAGAGGTTTAAGAATCTACTTTCTGTACTTAAACATTCCTGGGGCTACGAATACTTTTGTTTTCTAAAAACGTAAATTAGATTTTCATTTTATGGGATATTTTCTCTCTGTAAACCAGCACAGGATGGCTAGGGAAAGCAAGGAAAAGCTGGGCGAGCCAAGGCAAGCCAACAAACTGCACCGCCAACTAACCACAATGCAAATCCGCAAAGCAAACAATGTCAGGTGACGTTGGCCGGGGCCTCCGCAGTGGCTACGTGGGTGGTGCTACCCGCCAGGTGGTGCAGTGGGTCGGTGGGTGGATGGGTGCTCCAGTGGGTGTGTGCCAGCCACTGACAGGCTGACAGACAGCGGCACACCTTTGGAATCAACTTTGAAAGGTGCCCCAGCCGACGCTAAACCACACAGAGCTCTCAAATTGGTAAACGTTGACTCGGGCCTCTGCACGTAATTCAATCTGCAGTTTCAACTTATTCCCAGCTTCGGGATCAGCAGGATGAGCAAAGGAGGTCGGCAGGATACCGGGCTGCTGGAGAAGGAGCATCTGTAGCAGATTTACCCGTCAGTCGTCGCGTCTGAGCATGTGTTAACGGCTTCTCCTCTTCATCATCGTTGTCTTGGCCAACCTCTGGCCATTTGTCTTGCCCAACTGACAGCCTACTTTCGCAAGCCAAAAAGGCCCGATTCTAAGTGCAAATGGCCATATACCAATACGAAAGCCCATTGCAAATGCTAATGGCAAGCCCAAGTGAGTGGCCCAAGCAACGATTGCCGTACCAACTGGGCTGTAATTAATGCTATCAGCCGCCGACTGTGACAAGCAAAAGGGGTCTGCACATTGCAGCGGAGCTAACTCGATTTTGGAACACCTTTAACTGAAAATTAGAGGGCTGTACTGCAAGTTAGAGGGTTCCTTGACCTCTGGTTTCTTGGCGAAAATTGTCAGCTGCGAGGAAAAAATTGTTGTGGCTCCCAGAACTTAGCGAACTTTGATAAATTATTTTGAAAAAATTCCTTACACAATAAAATAGTAATGCCGTTTTCTATATAGAAAATTGTATTTATACCTACAAATGTGTTTTTATATATTATTACGCTCTTGGTTAAAATTTAAGAGTTTTTTTTACATATAAGAAGGTTTTTATATTAAACAAGAGAGAACGCTATAATCGAGTGCCTCGACTATTAGATACCCGTTACTCAGCTAAACAACTTAATAGAAATATGCCTCCTTTTTTGTTTTTCGAAGCTGGAATTAGCTCCCGTTTTTTACCCAGGGAACTCCACGTGGAGGCCTTCTAAAACTTTCAATTCTGCCTAGCACATCTTCCGTCTCTCTCTAGCGCAGGTGAATGCACTTGTGAAAAACGAATACGAGCAAAAAGAGACAAAATGCGCGCCCTTTTCAAATAATTTAAAATTTGCAATAACATATTGTGAATTAGTGTGACCACAGAAAAAAAGGACAAAAAGTTCAAATTAACCATCTGAATAGATGGCGCTATTGTATATTGAATTGAGCCATCTACCCCAAGATATTGGTACTACTGGCCATGAAAGGCGGAAATGTAGGCGCTAGACAGGTTTAAGCGTTAAATGGGTTTTGCGGGCGTTAGAGTGGGCGTGGCAAACTTTTACTTGGCCAATCGATATGTATTGACGAAACAAATACATATCAGTTACTATTTTCATAATAGCTTCAAAACTGTGGGCGATAGAGAGGGCTAGTGGGCGTTAGAGGGGGCGTGGCACCTTTTTGAAATAAACTTGCGCTGCGTAGGAACTCCCAGAATCTGCATGCAAAATGCCAATCTTCTAGCTTTTATAGTTTCCGAGATCTCAGCGTTCATACGGACAGACGGACAGACAGACAGACGGACAGACGGACAGACGGACATGGCTAGATCGACTCGGCTAGTGATCCTGATCAAGAATATATATAGTTTATAGGGTCGGAAACGCTTCCTTCTACCTGTTACATACTTTTGCACGAATCTAGTATACCCTTTTACTCTACGAGTAACGGGTATAAAAATTATTGTAATTTTGTGATCTCCTTTTTTTTTTTTATTAATTTTAAATGTATAATAATATGGAATTGAGTATTTAAGAAAAATGTTAGGAATGCAAGTTTACAAGCCTCTTCAAGTCGAGGAACAACACTTAAGAGGGCCTTGAAAGAGCCCCTAACCGAAAGCCCCTAACCGTTTTGCAGACCCAACCAGACCGGATATACCCTTTTGCAACCCTCGGCTAGGAATCCGCGCAGAAGTTTTCAGTTGATTGCATTCGGGTTGGGGCAGGAATCGAGTGTCGGGGATTGGGGATCGGGGATTGGGAATCGGAAATCCAGGCAATGGTCTGCCGTGAGCCGTTGGCGTTTGGAGCAGCGACACTTGGCCAAACTGCTATTGCACGAGAGGCGAGAAGCGACGGAAATGGCTGCCTGAACACGCATACTCCTCGGAAAACGGGAAAGGGAAAACGGGGAAGTCGGAAAGGCTCGCCTCGCCATGGCAATGTTTGCAAAGAGTGTCAGGTGCTTGGGTTCGCAACTATTTATCATCGGGCGAGTGCATTTGCATGGTGCGGATAGCGATCGAGTTGATTTATTATAATTACGCTGCAGCTGACAGCCGGAGCGGTAAATGCCCTGACAGTCGCTTTAATTACACATATCAATTAGCAATGAGTGGCGAATGACAGGCGGCTTAAGCCAGTCAAAGGATACTTACCGTCATCCAGTGATAAGGCTCTCGGCATTTCCTCTTAAAGCGCTGTCGATGCTTGTGGTTTTTTTTTATTATATCATTTTAAAGAGGGGGCCTAGCAGCGCCCTAGAAGCGCCCACACAAAAACACACAGAGTAAACATATGGCAGGAGGTCCTGGCCACATAATGGTCACACTTTGCACAGGACAAACGCGCTAAATAATAAAGGGAAAATGGCTGGGGAAAAATAAAACAATTTAAGAACCGAAAACAAGTCATTTGCCAGGCTGCCAGGCTGCGAGTCCTGCTCTCACTGTTCGTCCTGTTCGTCCTGTGTGTGTTTGTGTGGGCGTTCAACTTGCCTAGGCCTTGGGCGTAGCCATTGTCGTAGTCATCGAGCCAATGTCTCGGCAGGTCCTTATCTCACTCGCACACTAAAATGTCCTGAACAGTTTCAGTTTTTTGTCACTTTAACCACTCCTGCGATGGTTATTTTTCCATAGTTTTTTTTTTTGGTTTTTGCTCCTTTTCTATTTGCACACTAAACACTTTTCAAGGCACAGGAGCTGAGTGTGTGAGTCCTGGTGGTGAATCCAAGGGACAAGCGCACACAACCACCGCTGCCGCAGGACGACAGCCAACTGTGCGATGAGCCCGAATACCGTTGCCAGGACGAAGAGCCCAGTCGTCCTGTCGTTCAGCTCTCGAACTCGAACCTGTTCGGTTCGCTTGCAGACAAGGACTCTCCCACATTGAAGCCTGGGAGCACACACCCATTCGCACACATCCCCGTCCTTCCGTCCTCGCATCCTCGGTATCCTTGTTTGCCGCGACACTTGTTACGGTTTTTGCGAGGGTGGATGGACACGTCGTCCTGGCCCGAACACTTCGGGCTTGTTTGCTCGCAACAACGACAGCAGCTCTCGTACAACGTGTCGTATGCGCACTTTTGCGGCATTTTTAACTGTTTATTCCGGGTGCCCCCAGCTTGCAACCAAAAAAAGAAGAGATGGGAAAAAAATGGGAAAAATAAGGTATGCACAGAGGGGCTGGGGCGGTAAACAGGCCTTGTTCGGAACCAGACAAGCGACCACTTCAAATTTATCTTTTATCGATACTCATACATTAGGAATCGACAAGGCTTTGGTTTCTCTTGAATGTTAAACGGAAGCTAAATAAATTATTTCTGTATATTATCCAATACTATTCTTCGTGGGCACTCTTTAAAATACGGTGTTAGGCGCTAAACATGCTATTTTTTAACTCTTAGCTTATTATTTTGCTTGAAAATTAATTGCGGGATAGAACAATAAAATGTTTTCTTTGTGGTTTTTCGGCGCAGCTGGTTTTTGCGTTTTAATTAAAGTGCACACTTTTTAGTATGTTGTGTTTTTGATTCTATTATTATTATCTAAGTGTTCTTTTTTTTTTTGAGGTAGAAACAAAAAAAATAAAAAATAAGGTAATGCTATTGTAAAATATATATTACTAAAACTATATCTGCTTTAAGTTAAACATATAATATAATTTGCATGCATATATGTATGTTACAATACCTAACTAGATTTTACAAATCTCTTTTTAATAATATGTATGTAGCAACTAACTAATTTAGTTAATCGATAAATTACCTTTTAAATTTGTACTCATAAAAATTATCTTTTGCTATTAAAAAATGTTAAATCCATTTTGGCAGCACAAATAATAAACATATTTTGTGGTGTGTAGTTCAGTTTAGCCAGTTTAAACTGAAACATCCATTGTGTTTTTTAACAGCCTCCGGCACGAGCAACAGCAAACAATTGACAATATCTGCTAGTGATTGGAAAAGGTCTGTCACCATTATTTAGCAATCTAAACGATTTTTGGCGAACATGAACTATGCGAGTATTTACAAACTCCACGGACGTATTTACAATGGTGTGCGAACGCATTTGGGTGTCTGGGAGTATGGAGCTTAGTGATTTGGTAATTGCAGCATCAACAATGATGTCATAGCCCATGCAAGTTTAATACGTTGCCAGTGGTGCTTTTGAGTGTGTTTGCGGGTATCCAGTGGCCATAATGTGCCAGCGGGACAATTAACGGCTAGCGGCCAGACGGTCGGGCTATGTAAATATGGCCAACAGTCAATTAAATTCGAACTCGCGAGTGTTAAAGCCCTGAAAGGCAGGACGGTTCGAAGCCAGTTGGCTCAGTCCTTAAAGCCCGGCGGATAAACACGTCTACATATGCACCGCCAATTTGATTACATTTTTTCAATTTTTTTCCAGCCGAACAAAATTTGTAATTCAAATTAAAAGCGCAAATAGTTTTTTTCAGCAATCAGTGGCGGAGACTGGGAGAGTATAAAAAGAGGAGGTTGCACTTTGAAAAATACCCGAAACACTTTTGTCAAATTATTAAAATTATTATAATAACTTTATGCTTTTTTTAAAGATTTTATTAAATCATTTAAAACTTTGGAAACAAGGTACAAATTTTCAAAAAAAAAAAAAAAGAAAACATGTATACTTCTTTTTGATTTGGTTTCTATCATTTTTTTAAACTCATTAAATAGAAATATAATTTTAATAAAATGGTATTTTTTGTACCATTATGCTTCTAGTATTATATTTAATTTGTTCTAGTATTTTTTCAGACTTGCAGCCATTTTTCTTTATCTTAAAAATGTTTTCTATACGGTATAAATTATTTCTCGCTTCGATTTTCCTGCTAGTATGGAGGCTGGGGGACAGGAACTGTGGCAGGCAACAAAAGGCATACCAAATTACTGGTGAAGCGTCTGTCTCAGTCGAGTCCTGTGCCCGGGAAGAGGCCGAGTCGGGTCCTTGCAAAAGGCAAATGAAACGCAGTCAGTGGAAATGACGGCTCTCGGCGCGAGAGAGAAATGAAGGCAACTAAAAAATGCCAAAACAAAAATGGAAATAGAAAATGCCGCCACATCTGAATGCTGTGGAGCAACAATGTTGCATTCCACTTGGGCACTTTGTTAGGGACTTTGTATACCATATATATAGGTACATATATATATTTATATGTATGCAGCAACAGTCATATTGTGTGTAGCCACACAGCCTGCGAGCCGGAGGAGCTGAAGGGGGCATCAGAGGGTTAAGGGTGCCCGAGCGGGCTCTGGGACAAAAGGGCGAAAAGTAAAAGCCACGCAGGCATTTGGCACGGAAAATATTTTAAAATTCCAGCAACGAAAGTGCAGACAAAACTCTTAAATGACGAGCAGCACGTGCCCAAATAAAATGATGCGCATAGTTTTGGGGCATATGAGTCGGGGGCTTTCAGCCCTCAGACCTCAGCCCTCCCTATACATATATTTGGGTCTATGTGCTGCCTTTTTCCTCTTCCTGGTTTCTTCAACTCGATTTCGCACACACACACTCCGGTTTATCCCGGCTGGCGGGTTATCCTGGTAGGCTTTTTGCTGACTTTTCAATGTGTCAAATCGTGCAGCATTAGATTGGACTTGCCAAAGCCAAGACGCTGGCAGTCTGCGATGCAGATGGGTGACAAGTGCATATGCCAGCGAATCGAAAATGGCTTATTTATTCTGATATATTGATAAACATCACTGCCACATGGCAATGGCCATGGTAACACGAAGATCCGGAAAAGGGGAGCCTCGAGGATGGAAATCAAATTGGTTATAGGAAGAGATTGGCTTTCCATTTGACGCATTTAATATTGCTTGCAACATTAATATACATTTTTAATATTCAAATTTCAATAGAGGCAATATTTGAAACATAAGGCCGTTTTATTTGTCCAGAAAGCTTATTAGATATTGAAAGCACTTTATGAATATAATACCTTGAAAATCTTGGTAGACACAACTAGCTTATATTTAAAGATACTTTTTAGAATAATTAAATTGTATAAGCTTTTAATATTATAATTGGTTCGGAGGTTTTGTATTTGTCACCTGTAAAATGTTGAATATTAATTTATTTCTCCTGAGTTCCCTTTATTCACTTCTTTTGTGCTGATTGTTACATTTAGCCAGGAAATCATAAAGCGCGGTAGTCATATTCACAATCATGCAAATGAACAGATGTGCGAGTTTTTATAGGTAAAGATTATCGCCGGAGAAGCGTAAATCAGAGCTCATTATGTAACTGAATATCATAACAAACGGCAGCTAATTAAAGTTCGGCCAATAATTTGCACATTTATACACTCGAACGGAGTTTTTTCGCATTCGATTTAATTTAAGAAATTTGCATAAAATAAACATTGGGATTTACGAGAAATCACGCAATATTTTTGCAATCTAAAATAGTCGCAACAAAAGGTGGGGCCAAAAAAAGATCGAATAAATGCAAAAAATTAAAATAACAAAAACTCGTTTGCATTGGTCGGACGGATGTCTAGCAATAATCAATCAAACGTGAAATAAATGAAAATACTCCGAACAAATCGAACAGCAAATCGTTTGTCAGGGCTTCCATATTTCTTTTATGTTTTTTTCGTATTATTTATTTATTTTTGTTGTCTTGGCTTGCTGCTCTTTAATACGACTTCCTGAGCCCTTAAATTTTAGCATAACAAACGAAATACTTTCCGACCATTTCCGCAGACTTGTTTCAGTGACATTTAAGCGACACAAAAAGGGGAAACTGGTCGAAAAAAATATACACAAACTGCAAAGTGCAGTAAAAAATTTGTTGAAATATGCGACGAAAAGCGGAGTATCCTCGCCATGTCCCGAAAAGCCAAAAAAAGGAGCCAAACTGCTCGGCGTTTTATTTGCACTTCAATTTTGCCCTCGACGACGACCGGCGGCGCACTTTATGGCGATTGCAATCCCAGCTGCACTCGCCTAACTGCACTGCAGTGCAGTCTCGAAGTCCTGGAGTCCTGACTCGTCCAAGGAGTCCTGAGTCGCGACTCCTGACTCCCGACTCCTTGCCACTCGCTAGACAAGTGCTACTTACGGCTATTTTATGTTGGAAAATGTCCTTTGGAGCTTATCAGCGTTTAACATCGGACAGAAGTCAGCCCAAAAATAATGGGCACAAAAAGCAAGCTGCAGGTAAAATGCACGGCAAGCGGAACGGAGCGAAGCGAAATAAAATCATGTGACACTTTGTGGTTAATAACGCCCGGCTATGCATTGTACATACATGTATATGTTCGAGCTACCGGGTCCCATTGTCTCGCCGGGTAACAAGTCCCGAAAAACCAGGACAGCTCACACAACCAATTGGTTTCGGGGGTGGCGGTGATTTAAATGCAAATTTATCGCCGTGCAGCAGTAAAAAGGGAGCCAAAAAGAATCATAAACGACCCCACAAAATATAAATAAATGGACACACACGCAAAAAGCCACAGACAAAAAAAACTGAGGATGTAATAATAATATTTACAAAATGTCTGTTTGCGCGACTTCTGACGAGAGAACATTTTAATTTTTCGCATTTGCATTTACATTTTGATTAAACGATTTGCATATTGCTGTACCACCACCACCACCACCAGCTCCCATTTAGTGCCAAACTGATTAATTTATTGAAAGCAATTCGGGGATTAATCAGATCATACTGCCAGATACAACCGCTGCTACTTCAGTTCCCCGACTTGCTGCATTCGGTACAAGTTGAACAGGAAACGAGTGCGTTGCGAGACGCGGTTGTGTTCCCAATACTGACGCCAAACCAACCCACCGGCCATCCAGGCGTAGTAAACCACCAGGGTTAACATCAGGACCAGGATGCCGGCGCAGCTGTACACCAGCGAGATCCTGCCCCAGGTCAGCTCCATCTGGTAGATCCTCTCCCGCGCCTGGTACAAAAGAAAGCAGTAGCCAAGCGAAAAGAGCGACACGTAGAAGTAGATCGAGTGGTAGAAGGCCGCCAGCCGGTTCAGCAGCCAGTTTGTGTAGTCCAGGCTCATGGTCTCGGATGCGGCAACTCAAATTATGAAATATGAAATATAACTTTTTTAACTTTTATCGTAGATATCGTAAATATCCTGGAAACAATGATTTGGAAGTTGAACGAAAGGTCAACTGGGTCGGAAACGCTTAGCATATCAGGAATAAACCTTTTAGGAATTAAAAAAATCCGTTGTTTTATTTTCATTGTTAGTGGCGAAATCGAAGAATCTCTATTAACAATAATGTCCAGATGATAAATGAATATAGGAGTATTATTCGCGTGCAACAAAATACTACTTTCTGGATTCTTTTTACAAACCTTTTCACTGATTGTGTTCGTTTATATTACTATTTAAACTACAACTTACCTATCCCTACTGACACTACCAACTTTAACATTCCCAAATTTTCTCAGGGGAAAATAATAGCCTTGACTTACCATACGTGGCTCAGAATGTGATCAAAAGTTTTATCGATGAGTCTTTAAGCTCTTACTCATAAATCGCATCATCTGAGTGAAAAGTGATAGAAACGGTAGTATTCTAAAAGCACTGGTTCGAAACTTACTGTATCCTTGAGCTCCGGCTGCATTGTGCAAAATTAATTAGTTCTTATTCGTCACCCAATGGTCGACGATATCTTGTACGGTGCAGGCTGCACATTAGAATCGATGCCTTTGACCTGTTATAAGTTTGGCATTAGTCCAATCGACTAGTTAAAGGGGGAGTAAGAAAAAGACAATAGGCCAAAATAATTTTTCCGATCTGCCTACGAAAAATGTTAGCAATGATGCATTTAATCCTTTTAAGGTGATTTTATTTTGATAAGCTTCTCAATTTTGTAAGGATAATTACTCAATTATAATTGACTAATTTGCTCACCAGAAATGTAAGCATGCAAGGAGTTGAAAACGAAATAAATTTTTTTTGTGATCCCGAATCCTAGATCCGCCACAGATCTTGCCATTACCTAATGTAAAACAAGAGAGAACGCTATAATCGAGTGCCTCGACTATTAGATACCCGTTACTCAGCTAAACAACTTAATAGAAATATGCCTCCTTTTTTGTTTTTCGAAGCTGGAATTAGCTCCCGTTTTTTACCCAGGGAACTCCACGTGGAGGCCTTCTAAAACTTTCAATTCTGCCTAGCACATCTTCCGTCTCTCTCTAGCGCAGGTGAATGCACTTGTGAAAAACGAATACGAGCAAAAAGAGACAAAATGCGCGCCCTTTTCAAATAATTTAAAATTTGCAATAACATATTGTGAATTAGTGTGACCACAGAAAAAAAGGACAAAAAGTTCAAATTAACCATCTGAATAGATGGCGCTATTGTATATTGAATTGAGCCATCTACCCCAAGATATTGGTACTACTGGCCATGAAAGGCGGAAATGTAGGCGCTAGACAGGTTTAAGCGTTAAATGGGTTTTGCGGGCGTTAGAGTGGGCGTGGCAAACTTTTACTTGGCCAATCGATATGTATTGACGAAACAAATACATATCAGTTACTATTTTCATAATAGCTTCAAAACTGTGGGCGATAGAGAGGGCTAGTGGGCGTTAGAGGGGGCGTGGCACCTTTTTGAAATAAACTTGCGCTGCGTAGGAACTCCCAGAATCTGCATGCAAAATGCCAATCTTCTAGCTTTTATAGTTTCCGAGATCTCAGCGTTCATACGGACAGACGGACAGACAGACAGACGGACAGACGGACAGACGGACATGGCTAGATCGACTCGGCTAGTGATCCTGATCAAGAATATATATAGTTTATAGGGTCGGAAACGCTTCCTTCTACCTGTTACATACTTTTGCACGAATCTAGTATACCCTTTTACTCTACGAGTAACGGGTATAATTATTTATGTACATATGTGGAGTTTCAACGGCTTGTGTATTTCGGCTCCTCCTTTTGTTTTCTCTTTTCCTGAACTTGGTTTGCTAACCAAATGCGAAAATTCTCACAAAGGCCGCACTCTCTGCTCATCGTTAGTCATTCCCATGCTCCCCATTTTGCGGAGCGGAATTGTTGTTTAAGTTTGCCATTTTTCAACAACTCATCAATCTGTTCGATCTGCTATGCTGCCATAGTTTGCCTACCAGGCTCAGTTCCAACTCCTCCCTGCCAGCTCGTCCTTCGTCCTACTGCCGGTTAACGTTTCTAACTTATGCGAGGCACGCACTCTCACCGCAAATGCAGCAGCATCAGTCTTCGTCTGCAGCACGAACACATACACCGATTTTCTTCGTGCACTGGAATAAAATAATATAAATACAAACAATAAAATAAATGTTTCCATCAATTTTAATAAAATTTGAATAATTTTCCGCTAATAATTATAAATAAAATGTTGTATATTACATTATATTTGATATGAACCATTATCTTATAAAGTAAGCAAAAGTTCCCGAACATCTCATTTGAAATTTATTTTTTTGTGATCTTTTTCTGTTTGTATTAAAAAATATAAAAACCATTTTCAGCCTCTTTTTTGCCGTAACATCCCTGCAGGAAACGGAATCAGTTTTGGACCATTAAAATACTAGTTGGGTCAAGAAGGTTAACTAGTTCAAGTTATGTCCATTTCCTTGTAACGAAGTGGTCCATTTTTCATATGCTTGTCGTCGGAAACAACTAGTCCATTTGCTACTAGTTTTGCACTAGTGACTGTTAACCAATTTACGATTACAGCTGTTGAACTACACTCAAAAAAATATTTTCAAGAAAAAACTTAAAATAAATCTCTAAACCATCAAGTGATTGAATTTCACTAGTACTTGACGATGCCTAACTTGACGCTCTCCTAATTTAGTATCCAATCAATAGGCGCGGTCCTTAGAGAATTTCTGATAATTATTATGTAATCAAATACAGTAAATGATAATTAAATGGAATTAAAACAAACTTACTTTTTTTGAGGCAAGTCGCCCTCTCTAGGACTTGAACCCGGGACCTTTGGATTTGTAGACACACTAACTGATTGAGCCATACACGCATCACATTTTGTAATGCCCTAACAAGGTTTATGAATTTTAGTGTGACATTATTCAAAAAAAGTGATTTTTCACATATATATTGCCTCGGACAGATTAAACAAAGTTTAAAATAAAACTAAAGCATCACCTAGCAAACAAAAAACTAAAAAAAATGTACAGAGACTAGGGATTGAACCGAGGACCTCGAGTGTTTGATTTGTTTAGTGTTAAATTTCCCAAGACATTTACACTCTAGGCTATATTTTTGGATCATATGTGTTACATTTGCAACTAGTTAAATTCCAGTTGCCTTTTAACTAGACCCTAACATGTATTTGTTCTACCAATTAAATATTTTTAAGGTTTTTTTTTGTCAGAAAGGTACTAGTCCGAGACAAGTTTATTTTTTACTAGTTTTTTTTTAATCATTTTTTCGACTAGCACAAATTTTCTAGACCCTGTGTAGTCCAAATGCATTCAGACAAATTCCGGTTGCTTTATATTAGTTATTTAACTAGTTGTTTTTCAGACTAGTTCGCAGTTTTCCTGCAGGGATAAGACCCAGTTAAATTTTTGCAAGTGTAGTTCTATGAACAAATATGGCTTGCTGATTTGAAGCGAACGGAGCTTGCTGATGGGCCTCAAACTGGCAGGAAAAGCCAAGCCGCCTGTCGCCAATGACGCTAAACTTTTTTATTATGTATTTGGCGCTTTTATTATTCATCTATCATCGCTGTTATAGTTTAATAGAAAGTTTAAAAGTCATCATCGTGGCATCGGCATTGCCAATGACTTGCCAAACACACCGTGCGCCATATGCTCGCCTCCTCATCCGCCTCCACTCCAAAACTCCAGTTTCCGTCACTTCCTCTCCGGCTCTCGATTCGGGCTCTTTCCCCACATGATGCTGGCCAAAAGGCATTTGGCGGGTCCTGGCCTTCAGCCAGCTCAGAAGGCAGATAAACAATTAAATTTATGCAGCGAACGTTTCATTAGCATTCGAGGACTCCTCGCGGAGCAGCAATCCTTGTTTAGTTTGGCCGTTCTTTTGGACCGGGGCCGTTAGTGTTAATTAACTTGGCGCGATTTCAAGTTGCCAAAACAAACGAAATGGCTATCCCGCTTACACTTTGAACCTTCCTTGGCAACATGGCACATGGTCGATTCAGAAATCTCCATACTACTTATACACATTTCTTCTTTTCCAGGGATGTAGATGGCTTAGTGTCGCAAATTCAATAAAACTGCAACTGGCCCATGATACGTTAATAGGAGCATCGGCTACGCATGCAAAAAACCAACACAACCACAAAGTGTTTCTAATAAATTTTGCAACAGCAACTACAACAAGTGTTTAAATTTATCGCATCTGCGATTTACTCCCCTCATGACTCTCGTCCTCCTTTTCGCTGCTAGTCTCCCTTGGACTGAATAAACAATATTTTATATGAGCCAAGAGCTTGGGGTCCGCTCGTCCAAACTCGCTTAACCATTGCACTGCCCGTTGGCGCTAACTAAACGATGCTGAACATCGATTTCAGCACTTTGGGCTGGAGTCGACTGCGCGACACCCTAGATACAAAATTGTGAAATTTGTTTTATTTATAGAGTATAATGTCAAATCGAAAAATATAAAACAAATTAGTTTCAAATACTTTTAAAGTAAATTTTATACAGTGAGTTCAATTTAAAATTTTGTTCGCAAGAGATGCCAGATAATTCTGCAGTTCAACAGTTCTGGAATTTTACTGTGCTCTCTTACACAGAGAAAATTATTCCGTAAAATTCGTCTTCTTTTAATTAGTAGGTTTTAATTTTTGTATTTTAATGTTACTTTTTATATAGCATTTTAAAAATCGTATTTTCTCGGATATAAATCATTCATTTATAATTTTAATAAATAATAAAATAATAATAATAATAACATAAAATAAATGAGTGAAATTTCAGAAACTTTATAAAATAAATATTTAATGTATAACACTATTACCTACAACTGTCTTTATAAGATAACCTAATGACTCGTGGTCGGCTGTGGTATTGCAGGGTATCGAAACCACGAAGAGCAATTATGATATCGGGCATGATTTTGTGGGCAATTGGCTTTAAT